CCCCCCCCCCCCCCCCCCACACACACATTCTCAGGACCAACCACAGCCAGAGGCCCTTCCACACCAGCAACCTAGTGGCCCCTCCTCAGGTGCACGCACTCCAGCTCCGCAGGGGCCCTCCATCAAGCGCCCAAAGCACCGCTGCCAGCTCCTCAGAACTCAGCTCTTCAGGATCCTTCCTCCAAGTTTCTCTTTGTTCTGGCCACCTCCCTTCCCGCTCCCTAAAACAGCTCCGGCCAAAGTCCTCCTTATTTGCACACCGCGAAATCAAGAGATCTTATTCAGACCTTACTATACCTTTCTATTATATCTGGCACAACTGGCCTCTCACTGGTCCCACCTGTAGACAATATTATTTCTTCATCAATAACTCTTGGCACATTCATACATTTCTGCGGGGGATAAACTGACAAAAATTTCTTAGAAAGCATTTTAGCAATATTGATTCAACAAATAATTTGGAAGCATTTGTGTGACTATGTCCAGTGAGTTAATTTCTAGAGTTAGGAATGCTGTTAAGCGTAGCAAGTGCTGTGTGTGTACACGTAGTAGGTGGTAGAGCCAGGCGGTCCGACTCTAAAACATGTCTTAGTAACCTCTACACCAGGTAAAACATAGATTCATGGGCCCCACCCTGGAATTTCTGGTTCACTAATTCTGGAGTGGTGCTAGAGAATTTCAGTTTCTAAGAAGTTTCCAGGTGATGCTGATCTGCTTCTCAATACTACCTACTCACATATTTTTTCTTATTAGCTTTTGTTCATCCCTGAAGACTCAACTCAGCCATCTCCTTCCTTAGGAATATCCTCACCTAAGGCTCCCGCACCGCTCTCGTGCTCCCACGGCGTCCTGTGCTGACCAAGGACACATCAGTAACCACAAAAACCGAAGCCCTGCGTGTACCTGTCCCAACCACTAGCCTGTGAGCGCTTCAAGGACAGAGATCATAACTTTTTTTTTTTTGACATCTTGAAGTTCTTTTGTTTTAAATTGTTTTCTTGTGGTAAAATACACATAACATAAAATTAACCATTTTAAACATACAGTTCAGTGACATTAAGTACATTCACATTGCTGGGTAATACATTTCTGGGAGGTAAGTTGACAAAAATGTCTTAGAAAGCATTTTAACAATATTGATTCAACAAGTAATTCTGAAGTATTCAGAACTATTTACAGCTTCCCAAACTGGCACTCTGTATACACTTCAAAAGGAACAAACTCCCCATTCCTCCCGCCGCTAGTCCCTGGCAACCATCCTTCTGTTTTCTGTCTCTGTTCACCTCTGTATGCAATTTCTAGCACACTGTCTCTTAAAGGCACGATCTCACCAACTGCAGAATTGAAGGTGAGTCTTTCTCAAGCATCAAATAAAAGAACAAATGAGAAAGAGCTTTAAAGAGTTAAAACTCACGTAGAAATGGTACGGATTATCACTGGAGTTACCAGAAAATTTGAATGATACATTAGCTGTCAGAATTGTAAGTGTAGGCCCTGGCCGGTGGCTCAGTGGTTGGAGCGTGGTCCTGTACACCAAGAGGTGCGGGTTTGATTCGGGCAGGGCATGTGCCTAGGTTGCAGGTGCAATCCCTGGTCGGGGTGTGTACAGGAGACAACCGATCAATGTTTCTCTCACATTGATGTTCCTCTCCCTCTCTCTCCCTCTCGCTCTCTTCCTCTCTCTAAAAATCAATAAAAAACATATCCTCAGGTCAGGATTAAAATAATAATAATAAAATAATTATAAGCATATAGCTATTTGAAACAACCGTCTTGGCTCTCTACCTAGCACAAATAAATATGGATCACCTATATTTTTAAGATAATGGGGGGGGGGATCTACCTGAAATAGAAATAGAAAACTTCATGTCCCCACCCTCCACTCAAATATCTAAAACTCCTAAATTGAGCTCATCCGTTTTTCAAAATATATGCCCATTCATATCTGCAATGTCCTGCCACCTGAATCAACTGGAGGAAAGAGAAATCCTAGTGGAAAAGAAGGTTGTATAAAAAAATACATAAAATGCCCCCTAGAAATTTACGTAGACATGAAAGGTAGGGATAGGAGAGGTTTCAAGGTCTCATAGTCTACTTCTGTACATTGGTACTCTCGCATTTCTTTAAAATGTGTCATAGAAATGTACAAATTAATTTATTTGGTACTTACAGGGCATATAAAAGATGGACCTTAAGCTCGTAATTCTTGAAAGGATTCTTAAATAATGGCTCTATATAACAGATGAATAATTTCAAGTCCTCTTTCATCCAGCACTGTATGTTCCAGTTTGCACCTGAATTAAAAATAAACTACTTTAAATCTGAAAAACATTCTGAACAACTCACTGAAAGAGAAGAGCTAAATTAAATTTACCAGTGTTCTGATATAACTTCCACTGCCCATTCTGAGAGAGAAAAAAAACAAGCTAGGCTCTACCTAGCGGTATGTGTTTGCCAAAGTCATTCATTCCCTTCGGCCTTCAGTTTCCCTTTTTTGTAAAGTAAGAGAATTAAGTACAATTATTGCTTCTTGAACTTTTTTATCCTGAAACCACTTAAGTAGAAAAAACCCTCAAAACAAAATCCTCATGTAGCTCAGTTAATGCTCACTTTCCAAGAGAGAAGAGAACATTAAATATCAAAGGACAAGCAAATGTGGAGCAGTATTTATGTGTCTATTTTAGCAATAAAGGCACAGTGATTCACATTTGAACTATAACGCATGTCTTAAATTCTTGTTGTTATGATATTACAGGCTCCAAATATAACTGATGAAAGTTTATTTCACTGCACACTGAAAAACTCACCTGATAATATAAGATAAACTATAGGTGATCTGCAATTTAGAAAGAAAGAGTAGCAACAAACAAAAATCATGACTAACATAAGACAAGACTAAAAACCACCTTAAGGCAACAGTAACATATTTCCCCAAACCTGAGGGATTTCTAGCTAGGAGGACTTTGCAACACTCCTGAGCCCTACGAAGTAAGCAACCTACTTGGCAGAATAATTAATGGAAGTCCTCAGTGACCACCACTTACATTAGTAATTTTAGTTACAAAAACTTTAACTCACTCAGAAGGAACTAGTTATTAGCCTTTATTTACACAGTATATAAAATTAAAATCTACAGCTTCACAGTTATTCCTTTAATATGAAGAAAATATTAACACTTTTTGATCATGTCAAAGCTCATCCCAAGGACCCTGCTTTCTTAAGTTCATTCTTAATACATTTAATAATCACTGGAATGGCTAAATTTCCTTACAGATTAAAAAAAAGTGCTTCATTTTAATAACAGTGCAGTGGAATAAAAATGTTATAATTAAACTATAATTAATCTATAGTCATGTGACTAAAGATTCAATTGGAGGCACTTCTAACTTGTTTTAAAACTCTGATTTTATTGCATATTTATGTTTTACCCTTATTCCTAAGCCGATTTCAACAAACTGTAGTGCTCCTTCCATCTAATCAGTAGTGCTCCACAGGGGCAATTCCATCCTCTATGGGGCATCTGGCAAAACCTGGAGATACGCTCTGTTCGTCACAACTGGGGAGGGGATGCTACAGGCTTCTAGTGGGTAGAACCAGGGATGCTGCTGGGCATCCTGCAGTGCACAGAGCTGCCCCCCAATCACCAAGAATTACCTGGCCCAAAATGTCAACAGTGCTGAGGCGGAGGAATCCTGACCAACCCTGCACAGGAGAGCCATACTTAGGCGGGCCCTTATTCTCATCCCATAGGTCTCTCTCTATTGCTGATCCATTGGCTCTGCTCTATTAGCTCTTCCAGAAGCTTGGAAATAATTTGGTTGTGTAGGTCTCCAGACGCAGCAATTTTAACTACACTAGCTACATTCATTATCCTCATACAACCAAAAACCCTTGATTTAAAATATCTATTGGTTATAGAGCAATTCTTTGTTTGAACAAATACTATTAGTCATAAATGCTTTAAAACTTAACTAATTTAACAGTTGAATATTTTAATATTTTATCTATTTAACAAAATAAGGTGTGCTTTTAAACTATTTTAAAGCACATTTGGAAGACTACAAGAAACATATTTATAGGTTAAAAGAAGTTCCTTCATTACATTTTTGTATTTTTTATGGGGTACAAAATAATTTGGGGCTTATTAGCTTGGTCACACGATGAATCCTAACTTTATTATTAATATAAAATCATGTATTAAGAATCCCATCCATAAAACATCTATTCCATACAGGTTTCAGAGAATAAAAACATTTTGTTCAATACAGTTAAATAACAGCTAAATCTTAGAACATTAAAATACTTACCTATTTGTTGAAAAACTAAAGGATTTACTGTTGAAACCAATGCCTTCCTTTCAATGTCATCTGCATGTCCAGAGCAGTGCTTATCTTCCCCATTCCAAACACAACACTGGAAAGTTGTTTTGGATGTTAAGTTAGAATAGTATGTACCACTTGAATTAAATTTAGCTTCAGAAAGTGTCTCATAATATCCATTCAAAATTGAAGCGTTCTTTGAGATTCCAGCAGACAGGAGAAAGTCATAGGTTGTATTTGGTGGTATGCAAAACAACTTAAATCCCCAAGGATTAATGGGATATGCCAAGTTAAACGCCGTTATCACATATATAAATTCTGTTTGGACATTAAAAAGAGGCATAGAAAAACAATTAATCATTCTGACTAAGACATAAATAGGAAGTATCTGAGATTAAACCATGCAATGCTCAATAGTAATTATCTAACTTGCCAAATGCTCGGTCAGTGCCTAATGCATGGCTCTGCTTCCACTGTACAACGCGTCATACTCCAGAGGGTGCATTTACTTATGGAGACAACTTCACTGTCTAGCACCCCTTTTTAGGAATTCACACTTCCAATTTTTCATTAGTCTAACATATGTATATTTTAATGAAAAGAAAGTATGACTAAATATTTCAATTTCCTTTTCTAGAAAAGGATATTCTAATGAACTCCAGCTTATATAAGAAACATCTGACTGGGGAAACAAAGTGCTATTTCAATATTTCTTAAAGAAAGTAACATCAAAACGTTAATAGTGCTTTCACTGAATGCTTTTAGAAAGGGTTCGTCTTCAACAACAGGATAGCTGGGTGATCTGACCCTGCCCATAACCCTCCAGATATGCAACATCATGTAAGACAGGCCCTAAACGCATTCCCCAAGAATCGATGCACAAGGACAAGACTTCTTACAGGAACCTTCCATTGATGATTAAAGACAATTACCACTTTTAAGATACATAAAAGTTAAGAACAATTATATAATCCTGTACCAAAAAAAATCCTCAAAGGTGATACTTGTTTTTTAGTAACTGTTTGAAAATACAATAACAATTTTCCATAATTCTTTCCTTTACAAGTTACCCAAATGATCCAACACCTGTGTTACTTCAAATACAGACTACTACAGAATGAGAATTCTGAGAATTCTGCCTGGATTTATATGGAATTAATGTTTTTAAGGATTAGGGTAAATGTAAAAATGTAAGAAAACAAATTTTTAAAAATCAATTCACAATTATTTTAAATTGTAAAAACAAAACATGTAAGAATATTCAAACAATACACAAATAATGACTGTTAACAGTTTGGTTTCTAAACCGTTCTATAAATATAAGTTAACATAAATATGTATCAGATGCAAAAGTTAAGGCAAAAATGATTAGCATAACTAATATTATTTTGCCCACAGTGTTAACAATTAGCTACCATTACATCACCGACACGAATCCTCATTGCAATTGTGCTCCTTTGTACTTCAATATTTCTACACGTTTCTAAAATTATAATATCTCAATGAAAAGAGAATAACTTATTTCTTTGGTGTTACAAAACCATGAATATGCATTGGTACTAATTAAAAGCATTATATTTTCTAGCTGCACCTGGAGGATTCGGTTGGCTAAACTGAAATTAGCCTAAATTCCTCAAAGAAGTATTTGAAATTTAAAATGTAATAATGAATGTTATAGACATAGCAACTATTGAATCAGTTTAATTAAAAGATGATTCTATTTTGTTTGCATGTTTCCTTTGCAAATGTTATTTCTTTCCCTCCAAATGAACCCTAAACCTGCTAGGAGTCCAGAGCTTGCATCTGAAAGCATATGTTATCATGGTAGCAATATCCCAGGAACTTTTCTGATTCACAAAACTTGGTCAAACTGCAAACCTTTTGGAAAGTTAATGTGAAACATGTGAGTGGAACCTAACAAAAACTAGACAGAGATTATGAGAGAATTCTGTAAGAAAGAATGGGTATGATCTTACTTTTTGATAGTCTTTTGTGACATAGTTTTTTCTGAAATCTGTAACAGTGGAGTTATCCTGAGTATTTTCTGTAAATATATAGCTACAATGAGAAATAATATCTACAACAGGGAAGACTAAGAGAAGCTCATAAGAGCACCTTTAGATTGGCGTGGCCGAGGAGATGACCCAAACTAGCTGACACACAGGTAATGATTGCTAGATAAGATGGGTCAAGCAGATAGCTTGACTTTAACTTTAAAAACTAGGTAATCAACCTAAATTAGATGATGAGGATTTTTAAATATCAGAATAAAACTAGAATACAGTAAGAAACAAGTGAGAATAGTATGCTCAAAAGTCATCAGCAATGTATGACTAATTTCAAACAGAAGCCTGTTATGGTTCAGGGCAGTTAAAAATCACAAGATAGTAAAAGGACATCTGTAAGCTTTCCCTTGAGGATATTCCTGCAATGGGTAGGAGAAAGACCAGTATACATTTAATTTCTGAAAGCATTCTTCTGGTGGTACTCAAGATGGAAATTTCTAAGGTATACACGATACCTTGACAATATGCCTTTATAACATGGTATTTTTTATTATTTACCAGTTATAATGCAAAATAGCATCTCCATTCCATTTGAGAATAAACCCATCATTTTGTGTCATTTATTTTAAATATTATCACCACATAAATTGCTCCTTAATATAGAAAATTAAAGTTTTGACTATTATCTGATATATATATATGTAATTTAACAGTGCTACATTTGCTAAATAAAATTAAAATATTTAAGTGTAATTATATTTTGTTTCTAAGTATATATAAGGGCGTTCATGTGTATATACAAATTTTTGTGCTGTGAAAGAAAACAAAGTTAAAAAGCAAATGGTGGGCAGGGAGAAAAGAATTGCAAAACATAATATAAATTGTTAGGGTATGATAATTAAGATGACGAGTTAATTTGTTGAGGCCTACAAAGTACTGACATTTGGTCAAACAGTATTCTGGGTGTGCCTGTGAGAATATTTTGGATTAGCTTAACACCTGCATCAGTAGACTGAGTAAAGCAGATTGCCCTCCCTAACGTGGGTGGGCCCTGTCTAGTCAGTTGGAGACCTGACTAAAACAAAATGGCTTAGTTAAAAGGAACTCTTATTGCCTAAAATTAGCTTTTTCCTTCCTGTGGACTCAAACTGAAACATCAGCTCTTCTTGGGTCTCAAGCCTGCCAGTGTTCCTAGTGGAACTTCTACCATCAGCTGTCCTGGGTCCCCAGCTCGCCAACTGCAGATCTTAGGGACTTAGCCTCCATAAAGGTGTGAGCCAGTTCCTTATCATAAATCTCTTCCTAGATACATATAAATCCTACTGGTTCTGTTTCTGTGGAGAACCCTGACTACCACCACAAAGCTAAATATCTATTACATTTTAGAAATTTCTAAAAATCGCCTAAGGCCAATAAAATCTAACAACAAAATGGTGAAAGTATATGAATTAGAAAATCACATAAGAAATATAAATGGTCAATAAACAGTGCTCAACCTCACAAATAATCAAATAAAATTGAAATGAGATGTCATCTTTTGCTTATCTGATAGGACAAAAAGGTAAAAAAATGATAACATGCATCTTTGACAGAAATGCAATTAAATAGCACTCATATAATTGTGTTCAGATTGCAAATGGTACAAAGCTTTGTGGAAAATATTTCATAGTATATATCAAATTTAATAATTGTACACTATTCAACATAAACATCCCTCTTTAGGAATTAATCTACAGAAATATTCTTCCAAATATACAAAGATATGTGTATATAGATTTCAATGCAGCATTATTTGTTACAGAAAAGACATTTATATCAATGGGGAATTGGTCAAATAAATTAATAATTTAAGGTACATTCATACAATTCATTGTCACGCTACCATGAAACAAATAAGTACACCAGTAAATACTGGAAAAATTGGAATGATGAATTGAAAAGCTGTTAAATGGGAAAAAATGCAGAACAGTATATATAGACTAATTCTATGTTTGCAACTAAAGACATGAAGTATTTCTGTGTGTGTGTGTGTGTGTGTGTGTGTGTGTGTGTGTGTGAGAGAGAGAGACAGAGACAGAGACAGAGACAGAGAGAGAGATACTTCTGAAAGAATAATATACATTAGGTTCTTTCCAAGAGGTAGGGAATAGTTTTCATTTCCACTCTATTTTCAAAGGGTTTTCATTTTCACACTTGTACTTTCATTTGATGAACATGAATATGAGAATTCCTAACTGGAAACAGAAAATTCTGTTAGCCAATAAAGGAAACTATCTCCAAGGGCAAAATCTCTTCCTTACATATGGGCATTTAATAAGAAGTACAAATTGGTTGTTACAGAATAGTCATGGGGCTGTAAAATACAGCACAGGGAATATAGTCACTAACACTCTAATAGCTATATATGGTGTCAGATGGGTATGAGATTTATCGGGAGGAGCACTTAGTAAGTTATATAATGTCTAATCACTGGGATGTACACCCAACACTAATATAATAATGTACGTCAACTGTAATTGAAAAATAAAAGAGAGTTTAAAATGGGAAAAATGGCCAATAACTTACCCCAATGTAACAAAGCCAAACAAAGTTTTTGACAAGTCATTTTACTTCAGAGAACACCTGAAAAACAGTAAATCTAAAATTAATAACACACAGACACACACACACACACACCCCCAAAAAAACTGTCTGTGAAAAATATAAAAGGGAAAAGGATTATAAATAAATCTTTAAATTTTAATCATCAATAATACTCTGGATCAATATCAGGGCAGTGTCTCACATTAAAGGACAACTGTGTTATAGATTTATTCCTGTGCACATAATATCTTATTGCATAGTTAAAATAAGCCACATATTCATATATGACATAATCAAAAAACTGCCTTTATCTTTCCTATGATACAACAAAGCCAATGGTTACAGCACAGGTAATGACTGCATATTTATTTCCAATAAAGAGGAGAAAACTTTCCAGTATGTTTTTGGAAACCCACACTGTTCATTTGGAAATGAGGTAATATCCACATTGGAAAGTGATCAGAGTAATTCAAGGAAAGTTTGAAGGCTTAATATATCCATATAGGGTGACTACAGAGACAAGCTTTCCCATGAATTCCACTCAATTTGAAACAACAATAAGATCATTTGTACTAGTATGTCATGAATTAGAATGCTAGTATTATTTTAATATTTTGGGCTTAAATTTGTAGTGATGCACTAGAGGTTTTTGGTATTTCCAATTTTTTTATTATCTCAAATTGGGGATTCAGTTCACTACACACAAATTAATCTGAGGTGAAAAGCCCTGAATGAGGTGTCAAGTCCTGGGTGCCAGTCTAGTCTCTTTTACAAATCAGCTGTAGGACTCTGGACTTTAGCACTCGGGACCTCAGGTCCCTCATCTACAAATCAGATGGACAGATGCTCTCTACAGTCACTTTCAGAGCTTCCCATAATTCCAGGTGATTTTATTTGAAAATAGAAGTCGCGTTTTACCTCAAATAATATTCTAAAATATTAAGAAGCATGCTTCAGGAGTCATATCTTAGAATTGGTACCATGTGATGAGTAAACAGAAAAACATATCTGTTTAGTTCACAACTTAATAACTCTTGGGAAGAAAATAGACGTGTATAAACATTTTGTAGTCTGGTAAATTTGTTATTCAGACTATCAGTTTTTCATCAGAATTTGGGTTCTTTATACACTGATATCACATTATTCTTTAGGATTTCTAAAAAGGATTCGGTTTAGAATCCTCATTATCTACTCATATGAAATGTGTGCAAATTCTTCCTAGTTTTTGATGCTACTTGTTTCTGATACAAAGTTTTCTCATAGAATAAACCCAAGGGCAAGTTTCATAATCAGAATATGACAAAAATACAACATATCACTAGACTAAGTGTTTCAAATGAACTAACTAGTGATTAGTCATTCAGTCCAACAATTAATCTGACTCACTTTTAACTCAACTGAATATCTGCCAAGTTAAGTGACAAAATAGATCAGTTGTTTCTCCTTACATAAACCAACCATTCTTTTATTTAATGTTCCATGAAAAAACAAACAAACTATTCTTATGGTTTGAAATCTTGCAGTCAGGTTTTGCTCTTATATAACAAAGAAACAATCACAAGAATGAAAGGGCACAGAACACAGTATGAAAGGTGGTACCTTCTTCCACAGACTCAGAGAAATATTTATATGCACCCTAAATTGTACCAGAAAGGAATATAAGGAGGTTTATATGTTAATAAAATAACACAGAAAAAAAGTTACAGACATTTTTAAACATGAGACAAAAAGAAATCAAGCAAAGGGGAAACTAATGGTAAGGTGACCAAAATAAGTCTAATATACAAAATGCCATTAATTTAAATTCACTTCCTAAGGATGAGCTATTAATTTGCTTTAGTCTTTCTTATGGTTAAATTTCTCAATTAAAAATTCATAGTACTTAAGCCCTAGCCAGCTTTGCTCAGTGGTTAGAGCACTGGCCCTCAGACTGAAGGGTCCCAGGTTCGATTCCGGCCAAGAGCATGTACTCGGTCGCAGGCTCTGCCCCAGTCAGGGCAAGAGCGGGAAGCAACCAATCAATGTCGATGTCTCTCTCCCTCTATCTATCTTTGAAAAGCAATGGAAAAAATATCCTCGGGTGAAAATTTAAAAAAAAAATTCAGAGTACTTAAAATGAGAGCAACAGCTTCGGTAAATGTACAAATAATCCTAACACTAAAAACAGGAAAAAAAGCTGCCTAACTTTAAGATAACAGGTAAACTCTGTCCAGATGGCTCAGTTGGTTGACTGTCCTCCCACGCACAGAGAGGTCACCAGTTCAGTTCCCAGTCAGGGCACATGCCGAGGCTGTGGGCCCGATCCCCAGTAGGGGGCGTGCAGGAGGCAGCGGTTCAATCTTTCTCTCTCTCATTGATGGTTCACTCTCTTGCCCCCTCTCCCTTCCTCTCTCCCTAAAAAAATCAATAAAAACATATTTTTAAAACATTCTAAAAAAAAAAAGATAACAGGTAACATCTTCATGAACACCCTAACAGTAGCAGAGTTTCATGGGAATCTCACAATTCAATAATTTCTCACCCCCCCTCCATTGCCAATACTCCACTCTAAGCCACCGTTCTCTCTTCCCTGGAAGATCAGAAGAGCCTCTTAATTGGTCTCCCTGCTACTTGCTGCCCTTGCTTCCCAATTCAGTCAACTCTCAATGCAGCAGCCAGAGCTGTCTTGTTGATACACAGGTCGGATCATGTCTCTCTTTCCCAAAACACTGCAGTACTCCCCTTTTCACTCACAGGAAAAGTCCGAGTCCCAAACAGAACCACAAGGACCTTGGAGTTCTCTGCTGTCTCTCCGACCTCATCAACCAGTGCTCTCCCCTCTGCTCAAGTCACCTTCTCTGAGGAGCCTTCCCTGACCAGCCTACCTAAAATTTCAACTCCTTCCCCACCCCAGTATGTCATATCTGCTGTTCTGCTTAGCTTTTTTTCCTTATTACTTAACACTAATGTGAATATGATTTTGTTCTACTTGTTTATTGTATAACTCTCTCCACTAGGATGTAAACTCCACCAGACCAACATTTTTTTTTTGCCTGTTTGCTTTTCATCATTATATCCTTCACACAGAGAAGCCTGCCTCTCACATAGTAGGTGCTCCATATATATTAACTGAATGAATTGAGTGAATTAGCGAATGGCAAGATATAGCTCTTTCCAGAAATATTCTCCAAAATAGCTGGTGGCACCACACCAGCGGCAGCTCTTTCCATCGTTTCTCGAAAGCAGAAATCTTAACTTCTGACCCAATGTTCTGGCACCCAGAGAGGAAGGTTGCCATTGAGTTCATGGATTTCCTCTGCCCCAAAGAAAATTGCTGGTCACAGCATCAACTTAGAAACACTATGAGGCATCTACCCAGAGCGGCAGGGGCAAGCCCTGAGCCCCAGCCCCATGCCTCAGCTGACCCAAGCAAGCCCCAACATACAGATGTTCATAATATTTTCTTACAATCCTTTGTATTTGTGTGGTGTCAGTTGTTACTTCCCTTTCATTTCTGATTTAATTTGAGTCCTTTCTCTTTTTCTCTTTGAGTTTGGTTAAAGGTTGTCAATCTTGTTTATCTTTCAAAGAACCAGCCCTTAATTTTGTTCATCTTTTGTATGTTGTTGTTTTTTTAGTCTCTATGTAATGTATTTCTGCTGTAATCTTTATTATTTCCTTCTATTACTTTAAGCTTTGTTTGTTGCTCTTTTTCTAGTTCCTTTAGGTGTAAGGTTAGATTGTTTGAGATTTTCCTTGTTTCTTGAGGTAGGCCTGTATTGCTATGAGTTTCCCTTAGGAGACTGCTTTCGTTGTGTCCCACAGATTTGGGGTTATTGTGTGTTCATTTTCATTTGTCTCAAGGCTTGATTTCTTCCTTGATTTCACTGTTGACACATTCATTGTTTAGTAATGTGTTATTTAGCCTCCTTGTGCTTGTGTGTTTTTCAGGTTTTTTTCTTGTGATTGATTTCTAGTTTCATACCATTGTGGTCAGAGAAGATGCTTGGTATGATTTCAATCTTATTGAATTTATTAAGACATCTTTTGTGCTCTAACATGTGGTCTATCCTAGAGAATGTTCCATATGCATTTGAAAAGAATGTATATTCTGCTGCATTCAGGAGAAATGCTCTCAAATTATCATATAAAATCAACTGGTTTAGTGTGTTGTTTAAGGCCACTGTTTCCTTGTTGATTTTTTTGTCTGGAAGATCTATCCATTGATGTCAATAGGGTGTTAAAATCCCTTATTATGCGTGTATTACTGTCAATATCTCCCTTTATGTCCATCAAGATTTGCTTTATATATTTAGGTGCTCCTTTGTTGGGTGCATATATGTTTACAAGGCTTATATCTTCTTGTTGGATTGAACTCTTTCACATTATGTAATGTCTTTCTTTGTCACTTGATATGGCCTTTGTTTTGAAGTCTATTTTGTCTGATATAAATATTGCTACCGGGGCTTTTGATCCCTTTCCATTTGCATGAAATATCTTTTTCCTTCCCTTTACTTTCAGTCTGTGTATCTTTTGTTCTGAGGTGGGTCTCTTGTACATAGCACATATATAGGTCTTGTTTTCTTACCCATTCAGCTACCCTGTCTTTTGATTGGAGCATTTAATCCATTTACATTTAAAGTAATTATTGATAGTACTAATTATTGTCATTTTATTCTTTATATTTATCTTCCTCTCTCTCTCTCTTCTCTCTCTTTCTTATCTTAAAGAAGACCTTTTAACATTTCTTACACTACTGATTTGGTGGTAACAAACTCCTTTAGCTTTTTCTTGACTTGGAGGCTCTTTATTTTGCCTCCAATTTTAAATGATAGCCTTGCTGGGTAGAGTAGACTTGGTTGTAGGTCATAGTTATTTATCACTTTAAATATTTTATGCCAGTCTCTTCTGGCCTGAAGTGCTTCAGTTGAGAAATCGGCTAGTAGCCTTGCGGGAGCTCCCTTGTAGGTAACTGTCTTGCTCTTGCTGCTCTTAAGAGTCTCTCTTATCTTTAACCTTTCCATTTTAATTATGATGTGCCTTGGTGTGGGCCTCTTTGG